TGGATCACTGAGAAGTGATGTCCTTGAGGATAGATTTCCATGATGGAAAGGAAATGAGAGGTTCTAAGAGGCAGGCTAGCGGTTTGTAACCTACATGGAAGAGGTTAGGAAATGATGACAGAATAGAATGGGCCTGTCAGGCTGGAAGGAGATATTTTCCTTGGTCTAAGAACCATTTGCCTTGTGTGGGAAGAGATTGATAGGTGGAAGTTTCAGCGGGGGAGTAGGTGGGAATGACCAATGTGAAGGAGAAAAACTGACCGTGAGGGACAGAAGTTGGAACACTAACTGCTTTTTTAGCTAACTTACCAACATAAGCATTGTCTTGAGCAATGGGATCTGATGCCTTTCGATGGCCCTTGCAGTGAATGACTCCAGCTTCCTTTGGAAGTAAAGTGGCTTTGAGAAGCGTTTTCATTAAAGAGGCATTAATGATGGAGGACCCTTACGTAGTGAGGAAACCTCTTTCAGCCCGTATAACAGCATGGTGGTACAGGATGTGGAAGGCATATTTAGAGTCAGTATAAATATTGATGCGTAGTCATTTTGCAAGAGTGAGGGCCCAAGTTAAGGCAACTAGTTCGGCTTGCTGAGAGGTAGTGGAGGGAGGCAGAGTGGTAGTCTCAATGATAGATGTGGAAGATACTATAGCATAGCCTGCGTTTGCTGGTGAGTGGCGATTAGGCCTGGTGGAACTGCCATCAATAAACCAAGTATGTTAAGGGTGAGGAACAGGAAAGAATATGGGGAAATGGGGTAAATGTCAGATGGATCAGAGAGATACAGTCATGGGGGTCAGGTGTGGTATCAGGAATAATGTGGGAGGCCGGATTGAAGTCCAGGCCAGAAACAATCGTAATTGTGGGAGACTCAACAAAGAGTGAGTATAGCTGAAGGAGCCAGGGAGCAGTGTCAGGTGGGAGGAAGAAAATAGATTTTGGAAGTTATGAGAACTGTAGAGAGTGAGTTGAGCACAGTTTGTGATTTTTAGGGCCTCAAAGTATTAAAGCAGCGGCAGCCACTGCACGCAGACATGAGACCTAGGCTAAAACAGTAAGGTCAAGTTGTTTGGACAGAAAGGCTACAGGACGCAGTCCTGGCTCTTGTGTAAGAATTCTGACCACACTAACCATGCCTAGGAAGGAAAGGAGTTGTTTTGTAGAAGGGATTGGGGTTTGGGAGATTAGCCAGACATGATCAGCAGGGAGAGCATGTGTGTTTTTATGAGAATTATGCCGAGATAGGTAACAGATGAGGAAGAAATTTGGGCTTGACTGAAGTAATGGGGGCTGTCTGTGAAGCCTTGTGGCAATACAGCCTAGGTAATTTGCTGAGCCTGATGGGTGTCAGGGTCAGTCCAGGTGAAAGTGAAGAGAGGCTGGGATGAAGGGTACAAAGGAATATAAAGAAAGCATGTTTGAGATCCAGAACAGAATACTGGGTTGTGGAGGGAGGTATTGAGGATAGGAGAGTATATGGGTTTTGCACTATGGGGTGGACAGGCAAGACAATTTGGTTGATAAGGTGCGGATCCTGAACTAACCTGTAAGTCTTGTCTGGGTCTAGGACAGGTAAAATGGAGGAATTGTAAGAAGAGTTTATAGGCTTTAAAAGGCCGTGCTGTAACAGTTGAGTGATAACAGGCTTTAATTCTTTTAAAGCGTACTGTGGGATGGGATATTGGCGTTGAGCAGGGTAAGGGTGATTAGGTTTTAATGGGATGGTAAGGGGTGCATGATCAGTCGCCAAGGAGGGAGTAGAGGCATCCTATACTTGTGGGTTAAGGTGGGGGGATACGAGAGGAGGATGCAAAGGAGGCTTTGGACTGGGGAAAACAGCGTCGCTGAGGTGTGGCTGTAGTCCAGGAACAGTCAGGGAAGCAGATAATTTAGTTAAAATGTCTCGACCTAATAAGGGAGCTGGGCAGGTGGGGATAACTAAAAAGGAGTGTATAAAAGAATGTTGTCTAAGTTGGCACCAGAGTTGGGGAGTTTTAAGAGGTTTAGAAACCTGGCCGTCAATACCCACAACACTTATGAAGGCAAAGGAAACAGGCCTTTGAAAAGAAGGTAATGTGGAGTGGGTAGCCTTCATATTGATTAAGAAGGGGACGGACTTACCCTCCACTGTGAGAGTTACCTAAAGCGTCTGCGATGGTCCAGGAGGCTTCCGAGGTGATTGGGCAGCGTCAGTCTTTAGCCGCTAAGCCAAGAAGATCTGGGAAGGAGTCAGAGAGCCTTGGGCCAGAGTTCTAGGGGCTCTGGGAGTGGCTCCCAGGCGAGTCGAACACTCCAATTTTCTGTGGGTTCCCATAGATGGGACACGGCTTAGGAGGAGTTCTGGGCTGCGGACATTGCTTGGCCCAGTGGCCAGATTTCCAGCACTTGTAGCAAGCTTCTGGGGGAGGCGGTCCTGGAGGAATGACTGGCTGCTGCAGTTCAGGCGTTTGGAAGTTCTTGTGTGCTGGAGATGTGGCTGGGGTTTGTCTCACAGTGGAGGCAAGGAATTGCAACTCAGAAATACGTTGCTACTTGGCTGCCTTTATTATTATACACCTTGAAGGCGAATTAAGTCCTGTTTTGGGGTTTGAGGGCCAGAATCTAATTTTTGGAGTTTTATTTAATGTCGGGAGCGGATTGGATAATAAAATGTATATTGAGAATAAGACGGCCTTTTGACATTTTAGGGTCTAGGGCTGTAAAGCATCTCAGGGTTGCTGCCAAACAAGCCATGAACTGGGCTGGGTTTTTCATATTTGATGAAAAAGAGCCTAAACGCTAACTGATTTGGGAGAGGTTGGATAAAGAAAAAGGAACATTAACCTTGACTATGTCTTTAGCTCCAGTCACCTTTTTAAGAGGAAATAGCTGGGCAGGTGGGGAGGGCTAGTCGTGGAACAAAACTAAGCCAGACCGGGTGTGAGGAGGGGAGGTGATAAAAGGATTATAGGGTGGGGAGCGGAGGCTGAGGAAAATTTGAGACCTAGCTCGGCCTGGTGAGGAGGGGAGAAGTCAGATGGGTCTGTAGAAAAGGAAGATTAGAAAGACTCAGCGATGCTTGGGGTTGGGACTGAGGGAAGAGGCGGGAGGGAAAGATGGAAGATTTGGGACGAGTTGCATTGGGAACAGAGACTAGGGAGGGACCGACGTGTAAAAGAATGCCTGGACGTCAGGCACCTCAGACTGTTTGCCCATTTTACGACAAGAATTATATAGATCTTGTAGGATGGAAAAATCGAAAGTGCCGTTTTCTGGCTATTGGGAACCACTGTCGAGTTTGTATTGGGGTCAGGTGGCATTGTAGAAGAAAATAAGGTGTTTAGGTTTAGGTCAGGTGTGAGTTGAAGAGGTTTTAAGTTCTTGAGAACACAGGCTAAGGGAGAAGAAGGAGCAATGGAGGGTGGAAGGTTGCCCATAGTGAAGGAGGCAAGCCCAGAGAAAAGAGAGTAGAGACATGGAGAGAAGGAGTGGGGGGTGCTTGCCCCCCAGAAAAGTGGAGGAGTAGAGACACGGAGAGAAGGGGTCGGGGGGTTCTTGCCCCCCAGAAAAGCAGTAGTTGCTGCTAAGGGTGAAGGACCAAGGCAGGCGTCCCGTGTGGTCAGACATCTCTGAAGTGTGGGCGAATAATCAGGCAGCCATCCCCGGGTGAGTAAACACCAAGGGAAGACTGTCTTCCCGAGTCCGTGACCAGTGCCGGAGTTTTGGATCCACAGATAAAACGCGTCTCCTCTGTCTCTACCAGAAATGGAAAGGAACTGAAATTAAGAGAAGGGAAAGATTGAAGTGTGACGCCAAGATTGAAAGGAGAAAGAGGTTGAGGGATAGTGAGAGAGATTGGAGAAGAGAGTAAAAAGAGGCCGCTTACTAGATTTAAAATTGGTGAGCTGTTCCTTGGGCTGATCTGTCTGAGGACCTGAGGTCGTAGGTGGATCTTTCTCACAGAGCAAAGAGCAAGAGGACAGGAGATTGATCTCCCAAAGGAGGTCCCCCGATCCGAGTCATGGCACCAAAATGTCACTGGCATCCGTGTGAAGAGACCACCAAACAGGCTTTGTGTGAGCAATAAAGCTTTTTAATCACCTGGGTGCAGGCGGGCTGAGTCCGAAAAGAGTCAGCGAAGGGAGATAGGGGTGGGGCCGTTTTATAGGATTTGGGTAGGTAGAAGAAAAAATTACAGTCAAAGGGGGTGCTCTGGCAGGCAGGGGTGGGGGTCACAAGGTGCTCAGTGGGAGAGCTTTTGAGGCAGGATGTGCCAGGAAAAGGAATTTCACAAGATAATATCATCGCCTAAGGCAAGGACTGGCCATTTTCACTTCTTTTGTGGTGGAATGTCATCGGTTAAGGCAGGAACCGGCCATCTGGATGTGTACGTGCAGGTCACAGGGGATATGATGGCTTAGCTTTGGCTCAGAGGCCTGACAGCTGATACTTTTGAAAATCAGTGGTTTTGATAATGAATGTGAATTAGTAATTATAAAGATAAACTTTCACTTGTGTGGTAAGCATTCTGAAATATCTTTGAACATAGAAGCCACTTGTATGTAGGAGAGATAGTTAATGAAGTCGTATTCCTTCTTTTTATATAAATTACAATGATTATATTTAGAGACTCCAAGGAACTTTAAAAGGTACAGGAGCATTGGCTGGATTTCTTTATGAATAAGGGGAGAAAAATTCTCTGTGGAAGTTAAGTACCTGTATTCAGCAAATTAACTCTTTTTGGAAATAGAGGCACTATTTAAATCTTGGGAAACATCAGCTTGCCTGATAAAAAGTAAAGACCCTTTTGCCTTTCCTCAGTGAACATATTAAAAACTATCTATTTAAAAATGTTTATCTGTCAGCAGCCCACCCTGGAAAGTCTGTGGTGAAATGTCATAGGCCTCACTTCTCCCATCTTCCTGTTTCAGAGACAATTCTGAGCTCTTCCAAGATAGGAAAGCACACTGCGAGAGTCCTGTAGGTGGCAGTGTTTGCTTTACTCTGAAAATGTCTTTACAGGTCATCATCAAGAATATGGGCTGGAATCTCATTGGTCCTGTTGTTCGATGCCTTTTGTGTAAAGATAAAGAGGATGCTAAAAGAAAAGTTTGCTTTTTGATCTTTGATTTATTAGTAAAGGTAAGTTAACAAGGTTCTCTTTGTCATAACACACAGCAGTATTTTATAATTCCCTTTAATGTTTATTGTTTGGTAAGAAAGCTTTCAGTTCATGAAAGTACATGCAGAAAGGAACTTGTTGGAGAAAAGACCCAGTCTTATTGATTGGATAGGCAGTTCCATTTCAGGATTTCCCAAATTCTCTGGATAAAAGAATTTTCTAACCTCATTAACTTCGTATCAGACCCATTGATTCAGCATCTCCAGGGAGAGACCTGGGAAGCTATATTTTAACAAGTAACTTTTTGTATAGATGTGGAATACAAGGTTTAGAGAGGTAGTTCAAGGTCACATTTATCTTTTGGCAACATTAGAACTAGAATTAAAATCTCAGTCCTCTTTCTTTGTGGTACGTTCCTTAAAAGAGAATCGAAAGCCTAGAATACAAGTGATTAAAATGAAAGTAGGAATAGGGGTAGAACACAGATCAGTTGTGACTAACAACCTTAGAAAGAGACCGTTGGTAAAAGGCTAGTAGAGTTTAAAGGCAATATTTGATGGCTAAGAAAGAAAAATTCTGAGAAAAAGGATGTTATAAGAAACTGCTTAGTGATCAGTGTAAATATACCCAAATATATATTTGGAAGGAGAGCTCCGTCTGTATGAGTTATTGACTAAGGGAGCTGGGAGCTTTTTAAAAAAACAGTCAAGTGAGATGATAAAATATTGCCAGTCAGAAAGCAATGCAAAGTTTCACCTGTTTAAAAAATACAGAAGCGATTCCGGACTAGCCTAAATAGGCTTGCAGCGTGGGATTGAAAGGTCCCACCTGCTGGAGCCCCTGGGAATTTATTAAGGCAATTTCAGAGTAGACAGGTGAAGCACAAAGGAAACGTGAGCTTAAAGATCCATTGACTTCTTGCTGCTTTTTAGTTTTATAGTTACTTGACCATCACAGATTCTGTATTTTGCTAGTGCATATTTTTTTTAACAATTGTATAAATAATTTTAATGTTAAGCAAAAACATAATTGTATAATATTTTTTGTCAATATATGTCTTCTTAAAAATAGTAATAATGTGGCTTTAAATACAACTTGTATTAAACAGGTTCAATTGTGAATATTTTTATAGTTATGCAATCCAAAGGAATTATTGTTGGGTTTGCTTGAACTGATTGAAGAGCCCTCTGGAAAACAGATATCCCAAAGTATTCTTCTTTTGCTTCAGCCATTACAAACAGGTAATGAGAATTTTGAGATCAGAGTACTTCTTGTTGTATCTTTAAGTGCCTTGATGGTTACCCCAAAATGTCAATACTACACCAAAGTTTACAGCTAATTAGTGAGTACTCTGCTTAAACGAATAATAGCAATGCCAATGTGAATTCTGCTGCTCATGGAAAGATTATAGTATCTGGCCAGAGTGGGTACCCAGTAAATATTCTGTTGAATGTCCTACTATTTTTCATGTGCTGTATTGAAACCTATACCTTTTTGCCTAACCTTCCTATCTGCTGCTTAAATCTAGAATTTTCTCCCGAAACATATTTCAAGGATTACCTCTGTGGTGTCTGCAGTACTAAATCTGATAGCATTATAGTAGTCCAGAAGAGTATCAGGCAGGACATTACTCAGCCTCTGCTTTGGGAGGTGGATTGGGCATAGCAAAGGTACTGCTGAAGAATGAAATAAGGAGATATGGCATGATAAGGCTCCATGGCTGAGTGCAGTAACAATATTGGTAGGTAATGCGTCTTGGCAACCGAGGCAGACAGTATCCATGGGAAAAGGTTATTTTTCATTTTAGGAAATTCATTTATCTCACAATCTGATAGAGGGACCTGGAATCAGAAATTATATTTGTTTTAAATATGAATGCCTACCAGTTTCATACCACCTATAATATTCTGTCTTCTAGGGGAAAAAAATCTAATAATACCACCTCCTATTTGTATAGTGCTTTGCAGTTTACAATACACTCTCATATTTTGTGCTTATAACACAAAAAACATGGGAAGAACATGTTTCTTAAGTACATAGCCTGTTACACATAGTCGGTTATAAACATAACCTAAACAGCATTTCATGGCAAGATGCTGTGTTATTTTATGCACAACTAAGAAGAAAAAAACACTGCCAGTTAGACTGTGATGTGTCATCTTGATTTCAAGAGCTGTTAAAATATGGAAGGAGGAGGTATCTTGTAATTCCACATTTGCCGAATTTCTTGTCCCGTGTTTAGCATACTTGATGAGCGACAACTTGATCTTTGTTCTAGTGATTCAGAAAGTTCATAACAAGGCATATTCAATTGGATTAGCATTGTCTACCCTTTGGAATCAGCTATCTCTTCTTCCTGTTCCATACTCAAAAGAACAAATACAAATGGATGACTATGGCCTTTGTCAGTGTTGCAAGGCCTTAATAGAGTTCACTAAGCCTTTTGTGGAAGAAGTCATTGATAACAAAGAAAACTCACTGGAAAATGAAAAGTTGAAGGATGAATTACTGAAATTGTAAGTATAATTTTAAGAACATCTCACAATGGACTTAAGTAATTGATAGTTCAGTTATTTTATGTTTCTTCACCTTGTTTGACATGTAAATAGAAATCTAGTTTCACATTTTGAATTTCAGAAGAAGGTAGGGTTCAACTGATACAGCATGGGGACTTGAGACATTTATATTTAAAAAAATTATAGGCCGGGTGTAGTGGCTCACACATGTAATCCCATCACTTTGGGAGACTGACATGAGAGGATTGTTTGGGGCCAGGAGTTTGAGACCAGCCTTGGCAACACAGCGAGACCCCCATCTCTACAAAAAAAAATTTAAAAATTAGCTGGATGTAGTGGCATATACCTGTAGTGCTACTACTTGGGAGGCTGAGGCTAGAGGATGGGTTGAATCCAGGAGTGTGAGGCTGCAGTGAGTGATGATCGGCCACTGTACTCCAGCCTGGGCAACAGAGCAAGACCCTGTCTTTAAAAAACTAATTAATAAAATAATTATAAAACCAAAATCCATTCATTTACTTTATATTCTTCTTTGTATTGCCTTTATTCATCATAGTAAGTGAATAATGAAAGTGGGGGAAATAGATACATGTAGCTCAGGGTGAGTGTGGGAAATAGATATATGTAGCTCTATGGAGAAATTGTGTTTTACTCTTTCAAAGAAAGCAGCAGAAGGACCACCAGACAGAACATCCAACTTGACTACAAAAATAGTAGTAGAGTATCCACCCAACAGCATTCCCTCCATGGGTGCTATAGACTAAACATGTACTGTTCAATGTGGCTGTAGCATGTGACATATGGCTGGTCAAAATTCAGATGTACTTTAAGTATAAAATATCCCCTGGATTTTGAAGATTTGTTATTTAAAAAAAAAAACAAAAACACACAGTAAAATACCTCAATAATTTTTATATTGATAACATGTTGAAATGACAATGTTTCAGATATATTGGGTTAAGATAAATTATTAAAATCATCTCTCCCATTCTTACTACTTTTTTCATATGTCTACTAAAAGATCTTATATGTAGGGCTATGTTATATTTCTATTGGACAGTGATAGACTAGATTATTTAATTACATGGACCAGTAATTTTTAAATTTTGGCTACTTGGAGGCTGAGGCAGGAGGATCACTTGAGGCCAGGAGTTCAAGACCAACTTAGGCAACACAGCAAGACCTCATCTCTAAAAAATAGAATATAAAATAATATTTTAATTTTGGAGACATGCTATTTTTAGCTTCCTACTTGTCAGGACATTTAAAAAAAATTAACAGCCAGATATGGTGGCTCACGTCTGTAATCCTAACACTTTGGGAGGCCAAGGTGGGAGATTGCTTGAGGTCAGGAGTTTGAGACCAGCCTGGGCAACATAGTGAGACCCTGTCTCTACAAAAAATAAAAAAGTTAGCTGGGCACAGTGTTGTGTGCCTGTAGTCCAAGCTACTTGGCAGGCTGCGGCAGGAGGATCCTTTGGGCCCAGGAGTTTGAGGTTACAGTGTGCTATTATTGTGCCACTGCATTCCAGCCTGGGTGACAGAGACCCTGTCTCAAAAAAAAGTTTTTTACCATTTATAAAATCCATTATCTCATAAAAGAAAAGATATTTTAACTAAAGAAATAGGAAAGGCTTAATCCCAGAATAAAGTTTCATTTTCTAAATAAAACAAGTAGAGCTGTGTGAAAAAATGACTATTTCCTGATTTTTTCTTTGAACTAATGAAAACAACATCATAGACTAGCACTGGCCCTCAAACATTCAGAATTCAATGGAATAGTTCAGATGTAGAAGTCAGTCTTAGCATGTTGAGTCTCCCAAGGTGTTCTCATGTTCTCCCTATTACTAGTACGAACGACGTTACATCAACAGTTTTATAGAACATTAAGTTATTGATGCTTGTCTTAATCTACTTGTGCTGATATAACAGACTACCTAAGACTGGGTGATTTATAATGAACGAAATTCATTGGTTCCCAGTTCTGGAGGCTGGGAAGTCTACAGTTAAGGCGCTGGCATCTGGCAAGGGCCTTCTAGCTGTGTCATAATGTGGCTGAAGGTAAAAGGGCAAAAGGCAAAAGTGGGCTGAACTTGCCCTTTTACAAGAGCATTAATCTCATGCATGAGAGTGGAGCCCCCTTGGCCTAATTCCCACCTCTTTATGGCAGTTAAATTTCAACATGAGTTTTGGAGAGGAGAGTCATTCAAACCATAGCAGTGCTTATGTTATTTTTCAAGTAAAATTAACTTAGATTTGAAGAACTAGGGATTTTATACTTGGAAGTGTTGATTTCATAGTTACCTATTTCTTATGTCTTAGTTGTTTCAAAAGCTTGAAATGCCCTTTGCTGACAGCACAATTCCTTGAACAGTCTGAAGAAGGTGGAAATGATCCTTTCAGGTATTTTGCATCAGAAATAATAGTAAGTACAGCTAATTTAATCTGCTATAATCTCAAATGTTATCCCACTATATTCTCAGTACTGCACATGTAAATTGATACATTCATTAATAAAGAAATATGTATTTTTTGTAGAACACATAAAAGATGGAAAATAAAACAGCAATAATTTTATTATCCAAAGATAAATATTGATATCCTCCAGGCTTTTTTCTTATATACTTATTTATAATAATACATATATATAAAATTTTCAAAGATTATATATGTATTCTTATAATCTACGTTTTTCCTCTTCAACAGTATATTATGAATATTTTTCCATTGGCTTAATAGCGTCCTATGGTATGAACTTAGCATAATGTATTTCACCTATGCCATATAGTTCAACATTTGGATTGTTACTAATTTTTCATTATTGTAGGACAACTCCAACTTTCTTTTTTTTAACTGTTAAGTCTATTATAAGTAACCTAGTAACTAAATTTTTGTATACTTCTAAAATTATTTCCTTAAAATTCCTAGAGTAGAAGTTCCATGCCCCATGATAAATATTTTCAAAATAGCTCCATATATAAGTAAATTTTATTTTAAAAGCAATTTGGCTGTATGCATCAATAGTATTTTAAAATGTACTCAGATTCTGTATTAGAGAAATAATCTGAAATATTAAAAAATGTATTTTAAGTTGATGTTTATGAATTTCAAAAGAGCAGTCCATGTGGCCGTGTAGTTTTCTTCAGCCATGTTCAGCTACATGAGTGCAGGTACAGCATAGGAGTAACATTTGGTTTAATTAGGGTGAGGTTTTGAGAACCTCATCCCTCTTGTAGAGAGCAAGAGGGGGGCAAGGGATTGAGCATGTATGTAAGGTGATTTTTTTTTTCAATTATATAAGTTCTAAGTTACATGTGCACAACGTGCAGGTTTGTTACATAGGTATACATGTGCCATGTTTGTTTGCTGTACCCATCAACTCATCGTTTACATTAGGTATTTCTCCTAATGCTATCCCTCCCCCAGGCCCCCATGTCCCGACTGGCCCTGGTGTGTGATGTTCCCCACCCTGTGTCCATGTGTTCTGTCCTACCTATGAGTAAGAACATGCGGTGTTTGGTTTTCTGTTCTTGTGATAGTTTGCTTAGAATGATGGTTTCCAGCTGCATCCATGTCCCTGCAAAGGACATGAACTCATCCTTTTTTATGGCTGCATAGTATTTCATTGTGTGTATGTGCCACATTTTCTTAATCCAGTCTATCATTGATGGACATTTGGGTTGGTTCCAAGTCTTTGCTATTGTGAATAGTGCCCCAAGAAACACATGTGCATGTGTCTTTATCGTAGAATGATTTATAATCCTTTGGGTATATGCCCAGTATTGAGATCGCTGGGTCAAATGGTATTTCTAGTTCTGGATCCTTGAGGAATCGCCACACTGTCTTCCACAATGGTTGAACTAATTTACACTCCCACCAACAGTGTAAAAGCATTCCTATTTCTCCACATCCTCTCCAGCACCTGTTGTTTCATGACTTTTTAATGATTGCCATTCTAACTGGCATGAGATAGTATCTCATTGTGGTTTTCATTTGTGTTTCTCCAATGACCAGTGATGATGAGCATTTTTTTATGTCTGTTGGCTGCATAAATGTCTTCTTTTGAGAAGTGTCTATTCATATCCTTTGCCCACTTTTTGATGGGGGCTGTTTGTTTTTTTCTTACAAATTTAAGTTCCTTGTAGATTCTGGATATTAGCCCTTTGTCAGATGGATAGATTGCACAAATTTTCTCCCATTTTGTACGTTGCCTGTTCACTCTGATGATAGTTTCTTTTGCTGTGCAGAAGCTCTTTAGTTTAATTAGATACCATTTGTCTATTTTGGCTTTTGTTGCCATTGCTTTTGGTGTTTTAGTCATGAAGTCTTTGCCCATGCCTATGTTCTGAATGGTATTACCTAGGTTTTCTTTTAGGGTTTTTATGGTGTTAGGTCTTACATTTAAGTCTTTAATCCATCTCGAGTTAATTTTTGTATAAGGTGTAAGGAAGGCATCCAGTTTCAGCTTTCTACATATGGCTAGCCAGTTTTCCCAGCACCGTTTATTAAATAGGGAATCCTTTCCCCATTGCTTGTTTTTGTCAGGTTTGTCAAAGATCAGATGGTTGTAGATGTGTAGTGTTATTTCAGAGGCCTCTGTTCTGTTCCATTGGTCTGTGTATCTGTTTTGGTACCAGTACCATACTGTTTTGGTTACTGTAGCCTTGTAGTGTAGTTTGAAGTCAGGTAGCATGATGCCTCCAGCTTTGTTCTTTTTGCTTAGGATTGTCTTGGCTGTACGGGCTCTTTTTTGGTTCCATATGAACTTTAAAGTAGTTTTTTCCAACTCTGTGAAGAAAGTCAGTGGTAGCTTGATGGGGATGGCATTGAATCTGTAAATTACTTTGGGCAGTATGGCCATTTTCATGATACTGATTCTTCCTATCCATGAGCATGGAATGTTCTTCCATTTGTTTGTGTCTTCTTTTATTTCGTTGAGCAGTGGTTTGTAGTTCTCCTTGAAGAGGTCCTTCACATCTCTGGTATATTGGATTCCTAGCTATTTTATTCTCTTTGTAGTAATTGTGAATGGGAGTTCACTCATGATTTGGCTCTCTGTTTGTCTATTATTGGTGTATAGGAACACTTGTGATTTTTGCACATTGATTTTGTATTCTGAGACTTTGCTGAAGTTGCTTATCAGCTTAAAGAGATTTTGGTCTGAGACAATGGGGTTTTCTAAATATACAATCATGTCATCTGCAAACAGAGACAATTTGACTTCCTCTTTTCTTAATCAAATACCTTTATTGCTTTCTCTTGCCTGATTGCCCTAGCCGGAACTCCAACACTTTGTTGAACAGGAGTGGTGAGAGAGGGCATCCTTGTCTTGTGCTGGCTTTCAAAGGGAATGCTTCCAATTTTTTGCCCATTCAGGCTGTGGGTTTGTCAAAAAAGCGCTTATTATTTTGAGATATGTTCCATCAGTACCTAGCTTATTGAGAGTTTTTAGCATGAAGGACTGTTGAATTTTGTCAAAGGCCTTTTCTGCATCTATTGAGATAATCATGTGGTTTTTTGTCATTGGTTCTGTTTATGTGGTGGATTACATTTATTGATTTGCATATGTTGAACCAGCCTTGCATCCCAGGGATGAAGCTGACTTGATTGTGGCGGATGAGATTTTTGATGTGCTGCTGGATTCAGTATTTTATTGAGGACTTTTGCATCGATGTTTATCAGGGATATTGCCCTAAAATTCTCTTTTTTTGTTGTGTCTCTACCAGGCTTTGGTATCAGGATGATCCTGGCCTCATAAAATGAATTAGGGAGGATTCCCTCTTTTTCTATTGATTGGAATAGTTTCAGAAGGAATGGTACCATCTCCTTTTTGTACCTGTGGTAGAATTCAGCTGTGAATCTGTCTGGTTCTGAACTTTTTTTGGTTGGTAGGCTATTATTGCCTCAATTTCAGAACCTGTTATTGGTCTATTCAGAGATTCAACTTCTTTTTGATTTAGTCTTGGGAGGGTGTATGTGTCCAGAAATTTATCCATTTCTTCTAGATTTTCTAGTTTATTTGCATAGAGGTGTTTATACTATTCTCTGATGGTAGTTTGTATTTCTGTGAGATCAGTGGTGATATCACCTTTATCATTTTTTACTGTGTCTATTTGATTCTTCTCTCTTTTCTTCTTTATTAATCTTGCTAGAGGTCTATGTATTTTGCTGATCTTTTCAAAAAACCAGCTCCTGGATTCACTGATTTTTTTTTTTGAAGGGTTTTTTGTGTCTCTATCTTCTTCAGTTCTACTCTCATCTTAGTTATTTCTTGCCTTCTGCTGGCTTTTGAATTTGTTTGCTCCTGCTTCTCTAGTTCTTTTCATTGTGATGTTAGGATGTCATTTTAGCTCCTTCCTGCTTTCTTTTGTGGTCATTTAGTGCTACAAATTTCCCTCTACTTACTGCTTTAAAAGTGTCCCAGAGATTCTGAAACGTGTCTTTGTTCTCATTGTTTTCAAATAACATCTTTATTTCTGCCTTCATTTCGTTATTTACCCAGTAGTCATTCAGGAGCAGGTTGTTCAGTTTCCATGTAGTTGTGCTGTTTTGAGTGAGTTTATTAATCCTGAGTTCTAATTTGATTGCACTGTGGTCTGAGAGACAGTTTGTTGTGATTTCTGTTCTTTTACATTTGCTGAGTAGTATTTTACTACCAATTATGTGGTCAGTTTTAGAATAAGTATGATGTGGTGCTGAGAAGAATGTATATTCTGTTGATTTGTGGGGGAGGGTTCTGTAGATGTCTATTAGGTCCACTTGGTCCAGAGCTGAGTTCAAGTTCTGGATATCCTTGTTAACCTTCTGTCTCATTGATCTGTGTAATATTGACAGTGGGGTGTTAAAATCTCCCATCATTATTGTGTGGGAGTCTAAGTCTCTTTGTAGGTCTCTGAGGACTTGCTTTATGAATCTGGGTGCTTCTGTATTGGGTGCATATATATTTAGGATAGTTAGCTCTTCTTGTTAAAGTTATCCCTTTACCATTATGTAATGGCCTTCTTTGTCTCTTTTGGTCTTTGTTGGTTTAAAGTCTGTTTTATCAGAGACTAGGATTGCAACTCTTGCTTTTTTGTTTTGTTTTGTTTTCCATTCGCTTGGCAGATCTTCCTCCATCCCTTTATTTTGAGTCTGTGTGCATCTTTGCACGTGAGATGGGTCTCCTGAATACAGCAAACTGATGGGTCTTGACTCTATCCAATTTGCCAGTCTATATTTTTTATTTGGGGCATTTAGCCCATTTACATTTAAGGTTAGTATTGTTATGACTGAATTTGATCCTGTCATTATGATGTTAGCTGGTTATTTTTCCCATTAATTGATGTGGTTTCTTCATAGCGTTACTGGTTTTTACCATTTTGCATGTTTTTGCAGCGGCTGGTACTGGTCGATCCTATTCATGTTTAGTGCTTCCTTCAGAAGCTC